ACAGTAAAGAATAGAAGTATTGTGAATAGTAGAAATAAGGTTAATAGGAACTAAACCAGATAAAGTAGATATAAGAAATGGTATATGAGAAAAGTTATGCAGTTTAAAACTGTTAAGTATAAGAATTTTTTGATGTAAATTAGAAACAAGATTGGAGGACATGTCAAGAGCAATAGTATTTAAGATGCAATTAAGAAAATTAGAGATTAAGTGATAAATTGTTTGAGTAGAAGAACAAAGAGTCCAGTGTAATAAAAAGCTAGTTTGATTGCATCAATAACAGAAAGAGGAATAAGAGGAGTTACATTTGTGAAGAGTATGAGGAACAGATAGTTTATCCAAAAAAAATTTGACACAAAAGGTTTTAAGAGTAGAAAAATAAAAACTATGGACAAAATTAGAAACCTTTTGATTATTATTAATATAAAGCCAAGTTGCTTCTCAGTTGATGTTAAGAGCAATAGTAAACTATTGTTGAAAACAATGTTGAGATGTCCAAAATGTCATGATGTAAGCTTAACAGATAGTATGAATAGAACATCAAATAGGAATTTCAATAAGAAATTGGTCAATAAATAGAGTATAGGCAGGATTGTAAAGGTTATTAGTTAGGAATATTAAAAAGATAGAAGTTGATGACAATGGGCAAGTTAGTTAGCAAGATTATTAAATGGATCATCTTGGTATGAAATAACTTTGTGAAAAATAAGCTAAATGTTTTGTAATTTAATGAAGTTGATAAGAGTTTGCCAAATAGAAAAGTATGAAGTATGAGTATGAGAGAGTTTAGATACTGATAGGTAGATATTATAATATTTAGAGATAACAGATTGTGAGTCTGTAAAGATATGGACAGAACAGTTTCTAGGAGTAGTTATAATTGCTGAGAGGATAGCAAGAATTTTAGCTTTAAAGAAGCATGACCAAAGTTTAATTTGTATTTGAAATGAGTGAATAGTTGCAAAATTATTAATTTAAACCCAACCTATGCCTATAGAGCATTGAGAGATACCAAGCTTGATAACAGAACTATTAGTATAAAATGAAATAGTAGTTAAATTATGATTAGAATTAGCAATAGACTGTAAGCTGTCAATAACTTGATTAGACTGAAAGATGCAAGGTAATTGTTGTGAGTTGATTATTAATGAAGAAGGTGATAGAATATGTAAAGGATGTCAAATAACAACAGAATATATAATATCAAAAAAGTTAGCATTTAGATTAAGGGTTTTGTTAGTATTAATATGACAGAATAGTTTTGTAGTTAGGTTTGTAAGAATAAAGATAATGCATTTGTTGCCAATTGTATTAGAATTAAGATGACATCTGGAACATAATGTAGTAGTAAAAAGAGGAATAGAATATAGGTTTGAAAACTAAAACTGATATAAGCAGTGTTAGTAAGTAATAAGAGTAAGGCTTGTAGAAATATTATGCCTTCTGGTCTTGCTAATAATTATTTGATCATTAAGAATAGTAAGTAGCCAAGATTTAATATTAGAGATAAAGTAATCAGTAATGTAAGAAAAGTAGTTTGTTTGAAGTAAGTTAAAGTGATTATATAGAGTACATTGATAAGAATGATTTGTTGTAATGTCCTTAAGAATTGTGAACCATTGAGGTACAACACCTTTAAGAAACTTATTTAATCTAAGAGAAATGTGTTTTCAGTATAATAAGCATAAATTATTATATGTAGTAAGTTGGTCAAGAAAGAGTAATTTATAGTATCTAAGTTGTTTTTTAAAAATAAAATATTTGGAATAAGAGGAAAGAAAAGATTCAAGAGAGATAACTCCATCATTTAGATAAATAGAATGTTATAAGTTGGATTAATAAAAAATGTCCAACCAATATGCTTAATAAGCTGAATAATTTTAAAGTTTGTAGTTAGACAGTTAGAACTATCGATAATAGGTTTAGGATGTAAGAAAATATTAGTAGAAGACCAGAGATTGTTTTGTAACTGTTAAATTCAGATGTGAGTTGATGTGCCTAACAGGTTAAAGTTATTAAGTCATTTGAGAAGATTAAGGATATAGTGTTGTAGTTAAATATCTCAGATATATTTAATGTAAATTTGAGGATGTAAGAGAATACTTGAAAGTATTGTATAACAGAGTTTGGCCTTAAGCAATCTATCAACTTCACTAGGTCACTACAACTTTATACAATATAATTTTATTTTTATTTTTATTTTTTTTTTTTTGATATTAAGGTGATCTCTTTGGTCTGAGCTTTTTATTAATACTTATAGCGGGTATATGTTTTATATAGACGTATCTATAATGAACTATTAGACAAATGTACAACTGGCTATACATGTAACTTTTCTATATTACCTATTTAAGGAGTCCATCTGAGGGTTCCTCACTAGTTGACATACCTAACATCACTGCTTAGGTGTTTCATTTGAACCCTCTGATCTAACCCTAGTATTAATTTCATCAGGTTACAGACCTGGATCTATTCACTATCGACCATAGAACTATAATCTTTAGACTATTTTTATTCTCAAGATAAACCTACTAGAGTAAGCCATATTCTTTTTTACCACTAACCTGGTTTGACGCTATGACCGAGACCAATACTTGCAGTCAGGTTTACCCCTTAAACCACTATTACCCTTGTAAAGTTCACCCAAATCCTAGTATCTATCTTTCTGACTTCTTCTCTATTATCCCCTACTAGCTACAACTTGGAACTAACTGATTCACCAGACTCCCAATTCAGATGGCCTGGTTTGGTATACTTATGTATCCTTTTCTTCTAATGATTCTGGTAGCCTGATTGGTTATGTGCTCCTTTACACATTTTTGTCATTTGGTTTACCTAATTAGTTCTTATGAAGGTGTTTCATGAACTTCTATCAGTTCAATAGCACTATTAAAAGTTTGTGCTATCTCTTTACTTGGGATTTCCAAATGAGTTTCTGTCTCTTCGGTTTCTTAGCCTTCTATGCTCAGTGGTCTTATTGTGAGTTTGCCCGAAGCCTTATATAACATCAGTTTTACATTCCTCTATATACATGTATCATGTAATGTTATACTCTGCATAGATGCCCCAAGCTCTTAATGTCAGATGGGACCTGACTTGGTGTACCTAAGATTACAGATGCCCAAAACCCAACTGATCGGCAAGAGACAGTTACTGTAATATAGGTATAATTTCCAAAATTCATCGTTCGTAGGAATTGAACCTTAGACCTGCCACTTGAAGGTTAACAAACAATATAATTTTATATTTTTAATATAACTATATATATTATATATTTATTTTAATAAAAATTTACATAATAATATTATTTAAATTTAATTTATTTAATAATTTTTTTTAAGTATTTATATTAATATAATACTTTATTAGGATTTTTGAAATTATTTTTGCAATTATATAGAGTTATTTAACAACTATGATTGTTAAAAAATTAACTTTGAGAGTATAAAATATTTTTAATTAACATTTTTTTAAAAATTCTGTATTTATATAATAAGTATTACAACTAATACTGATTTTGACTAATGTTGAAGTTTACATAATAATCAGCTAATAGTAAGTTGTAATTAGAAAATTCAAAACAAACATTAATTTTAAAAACATCAAAAATTTGTATAGAAGCACCTTTAATGCATTAGCAAAAAAAGATTTCCTTTGTAATTTATTATATAGCTCACTGACCTCTAACCTTAATATAACCTTTAACACTAATTTAAACGTTAACTCTAACATAAATGAACTTTATATATGACAACAAATTTTTTATTATATGTCACGTGAACGTTAGCATCAGCCGTGACATTTATTATGCAAATAATTTATTATATATATTCAAAATTGCAATTAATTAAAATTAATTAACTCATTGTGACTGCACCACCAATCAATTAACCAAGTTCTCACAATCAATTACTCGGTAGGTAGGGATGTTAAATTGCGAATCCGGTCCGGTCCGGTCCGATCCTAGGATCTAAAAGAACGATCCTGGGATCTAAAAGAACGATCCTGGACTCGGTCCTTAAATCACAGGACTTAAATCCTATATCAGATCCTACCTAATAGGTTCGTCCAATCAAATTAATTTTGTATTGTTATAATAATTCGTCTAAGTTCTACGTATAAAATTTAGGGAAAATATACCTACACAGCATACACGTGATTTTGTGCACAGCAAAATGGCCAGCATTAAACTTATAGACACAGCATGGCTGACATTAAGGTTAGGATTGGCGATTAGGTCTAGCGCAATTAGTCACGTGTATGCTGTGTCGGTATATCTTCCCTAAAATTTATGTGATTTAAGGATCGGTTGGGACTCGATCCCTGAGGACCGATTAACATCCCTGTAATAACGATAAAAACAACGTTTATTAAAATAAAAATATAAAAACTAACGATTCGCTTAATTAAAATAATTAAAATTTTTAAGTTTTATTAATTGCTAAGCAAAAATTATTGCATGTAACAATTAACGATCTTATTGATATAACGATAACCGTAACTTTATAGTTTAATTACTAAAAACAAAATAGATACGTACGTACGTACATAGTCAAGCTGTTTATATGCATATAGCTACCTATGAATAGAAAATGCACTAAAACGCACGGACATACGTATATCCTCTTTTTCCATATAAACCCGATGAGATGAGCTTAGATAGAGAATTTAAAAATGGTATTAATTAAAAAGCTAAATTCCTTGACAAAAAAAAAAAAAATTGATAATGCGCAGAGACGGCTTGCTCGATAAACACGAACATGCAATTTGGATACAAAAAATCTAATTCGTTCGCTATTATCTGTCATGAAATCTGGAAGCTCGTACAAATTTACTAGTAATACTAGCACTGATCATTACTATTACGAATTTATTCCTATTGCAATATCGATATCTTTTCGTTTTGTTAGCAAAATTAGCTAACTGATTATGATGTCAAACTCTCCTTATACAATAGTTCATTCTTTCATATCATAGTATAAACCAATTAAATTATAAATATGACCTCAACAATATCCTCTACGAACGTATCACCAATCTTTAACGATATCATTCTAGTTTTAGAATCCATAAATGACACGTTTTCCACCAAAAGAATTTGTCTTTCTGACAACATACCGGTCAAAATAGGCCGTATGACTAATAAAAATACGCACCAAACTCAAACGAATGGTTATTTTGATAGTCGAGTCCTTTCCAGAACTCATGCTGAGATATGGAATGATAATGGAAAAGTGAATTTTGAATTACGTACTTCGCTATTACGGAAATTTAAGACTTTGTCACTAAAAATTTTGTCTGTTTTAGATTTTTATAAGAGACTTAAAGTCTAGTAATGGCACATTTGTTAACGGAAAACGCATTAGTATCGAAGACAAAGAAGGCGAGCCTGTTGAACTTAAGAATTACGATATACTGGTAAATTTTAATTACATTTTTATTGAGGATTAAAAATAGTTAATGATTCAAATGCATTCAAAACTTTGATTTATTGTAGGAATTTGGTATTGATATATTCAGCGAAAATGACCGTAAGCTCTTGTACAGAAAAATTGCAACGACAATACAAATTATTTCATCGAGTAATGCGCGATCGAAAATGAATATGATCATGTAAGACTTTTTAATATATCTGGCTTATTTACGTCACTATATTTAGAAGGATAATTATATAATTACAATTTATAGGAATGGTGTAAGATTCTTTTTTTATTCGTCATTATTATGCCATGTTAATTTGAACCCACAAAATCATTGTGTACATCTTTATACAGCAATCTTCCTGTAAGCGCCGTCCTGGACTAATGTCTGAAATTTATTCTTCTGATGTTTCCGTATATGCATCCCTAGAGGCAAGTTTATAATCCCATGTCTACCTATAATATCATATACGATTTGCTTAAGTAGAGGGGACACATTTTCATATTTTTAAATTTTTTTTTCAGTTCGAATTATACAATGCACGTGATGAGAGTCGCCGTTTAACCGAGTTGAACGGCGTTCTGAATGATATAGGAAATACATTAGTGAGCAAAAACAATAGGGTATATTCAATCATTTGATGTCTTAATGCCTTGACAAATTAATAATTTTAGATTTATATAAATATATATACAAATTTTATCATTTTTCAAGGATCGATCGAATGAGAACGGTGTATTCCATCACAATTTTAATGAAATGCAAACAAAATTTCATGCAGTGGTGTCAGAACTTAATAAAAAACTTGAGCATGAAATTTGTCTTCGTAATGAATACAAAGAAAAATCCCAAATGTATGAGAAGAAAATTCAACAGCTTGAAGAAAGTTTAAAAGTAGCCTGTTCAAACAATCTAGAGTCGGACTCTAAACAGATTGAAAAATTAGAGGTACAAGTTCAGATGTTTTCACAGCAATTAGAATATTATCCAAGTCAGCTAAAAGATGCAAATATAATACATTCTGATGAAGATGATGATTTACAGAAACAATCTGAAAGCTTACAACTTTTACACGTGTCTGAAGTGGACGAATTACAATATAAAATCCAAGAAATGAATACCGAATTGGAAATTACTAGTAGAGAACTCAGTGACTTACAAAATCTTTATTCTTCCGATACTGAGAAGTACAAAAAGCGAATAAATGAATTGTTGAAGCAGCTAGATGATGCCCCAAAAGATGAAAGTACCACCAAAATCGATGAATTAAATATACTATCAGAATTTAACGAATTAAAATCAAGATATGAGCGAATAATTGTTGAACACGGAGCGTCAATTTCAAAGCTTAATGAAGAGCATGCGGACGCTATCGCTTTCAAAGACAATCTCATTCGTTGTCTTCAACGTGAAAAAGATGTTTTTTCAAATCAATTCAATGACTTTAAAAAAGATGCCCAAAACGCTTTGGACACCGTTCAACAGCAACTTATAAATGCTCGTGAAGAAATTATATCTATAGTGAATGAGAACAATAACTTAACTGTTGCCAATGGTGAAAATCTAAAAAAGATTGAAATTCTTAAGGCATGTTTGAAAGACTACGCAAATGCAGATTGTAGTGAAATTGAGCAAATTCAAGCAGAGAATGCAAGGTTAACAGAAGAAAATTCCAAGGTTAACCCAAAACTTAAACGATCGAACCAAGATGAATCAACGGAAATTGATCGAAACATCAAAGTGGAATTATCAAAACGTCTTAGCGGAGAATCCTCACAAGCTATCACATATCAACATCAAAAACAAGAAAATATGGTAAAAGACTCTGAACAGACTAAATTATTTCTCATGGAGGTAAATTATGTAACTTTATATGTTATAGTAATATTAAATATATTTTTACAATATTCAAAATTTCTCATTTGTCTTTTTTTTACATTATATTAGAGTTATATTATGGTATTGTTTATTTCATTTACGTTGCTTACATTCTTTTCTTATTTATTTGAATCGGTACGTCATTTATATTAACTTTCATTTGTTCTTACGAAAAAATACATATTAATTACCTCTTTATCTTCTGATTTAGAGTATTTTTAATGTAATTTTTATTGGATATATATTAACTTATTCGATTAAGAAGTGGCGCACATCTTGTTTTTATTTTTAGATACTGTTATAATTTATGCATATATCAAATAGAAATTTATTAAAATGAAATTTTATCTAATTATAAATTTATGTGCCATGGTGGTAAAATTGGGTGGTACCTTTTGTTAGAATTTAAGGTTTGGATTTTTAATAGAAGAGTTTTAGAGGCTTGAAAGGAATTACAAATTTCATTTTTATAGATTTCACTATGATTTGCAATATTTATTATCCAAAATTATATATTACATATGTAATTATATATTTATTTAATTTGAAAAACCATCAATGTTTAATAATAAAAATCTGATAGATAACTGTGCGTTATTTATATAGATTAGTATAAAATTCGTGGTTAGCGTGTAATGATCTATAGGTATGGTAGTGATAAAAAAAATAATTATAGCTGATTAATCTGAAATTGTTTTTAAAATCGAACTTTGTGAATAATATTTGAAATACTGCATCTGGCGATTGTTTATACAAATAATTTTTATGAAATATAACCAAACAATATCAAACACATGGAGATATCATGTTTCAGGTAAATTATATTTTGCTATAGAATTTTCAAAAAGTCATTTTAAAGCAAAGAATCTATATAGATGCATAGTATTAATTAAACAGAACTACGTATAATTATCTTGCATAAGCGTGATTAGCTACAAAAAAAAAACGAATTAATCCATGAAACTGCAGCTATCCATAAAGTAAAAATGACCTGAGCAAATTTTACCATAGAATAGGTATTTTTTCATTTCTTGTAACCAAAGATTAAAAAATTAACTTTTGGCCAAAATTAATAATTTTTGAAAATCAGCCTAAATTACTTTAATGTAGGCCAAATTACTTTGCATTTTTGTGTGGTTTAATTTTGTTAATGTACAATTACTTAGAACTTATTTCAAACCCTACCAATTTGCCAATCCCACTATTGGTTACATTCGGTTTTACTTATGTTTCACCCGTTTTATTGCGTTCTCCACATTTCTCACTTGTTTTGCATATTTAAATACTTCTAGATGATTACTGTATAATTTTATGAAAGATATTTTTTCGAAAGACATAACATAGATGTAGTTGGCCAGTGTTGAACTAATGCCAATTAGCTTTGTCGGAACTAAGGCCTACTTTATGACATTCTTACATTACAGCGCATTTAACCCCAAATTTAAGTTTTGGAGTCTAATTTTGAACCTTTTCAAAAAATTATTGGCTCTCCGATTTATAATAATAACGCGTCTAACTCATTTTTCCACAACCCATTTTAAATTTCAGTACAGTTGAGTTGAATATATTAAAAATAATTTTAGCATTATTACATTTTCTAATATATATATCATTTTTTTTTTTTTTTTAGTTTTTAAAAGAGAGGTCTATTCTCTATCTCTTTATTAATTAGTCAATTTACATATATAAGATACATGCAGAAGAAACTAAGCTAGGGGAGATGGGGGTAAGAGCTACTTTACTCTTGACCTATTCTTTGCTAGAATGGTCAATAGACCTCTAGTCTATGATAAGATAGCTAAGAGAAGATTGTTCACAAGTAATATAATGATGAATTTTTTCATTTAATATAGAGGGTAAGATTGGTTTAGTTTTAGCTAGTATTGGAGTTTGTAGAGGTGATGGAGTTGGTATCAAGGAGTCATGTTATATCATTCAAGAGGGAAGTTAAACTTCTTTATATATTGCAGAGATAATATTGTGATGTATAAGAGGAACATATTTGTATTTGTATTTGTTATTTTCAAATGATGTCAAGGTGTTGTTGATTATTAAACCTAATAGTATTTGTTTGTCAATGTGGTTTGAAATAAAAGCTTAAATAAAATTATTTATCTCATAACAAGGTATTTCTAAATTGTTTGTTGTTTTATACACTATTTATGTTATTAATGTTGTAAAATGTAAATAGTTTCTAATGCAATCTAAAAGATGTACAATAGTTTCTGGAGCATTATAGCATCTTGGACAGAGATAGTTTGGATGTTTAGTAGCATTCCTCTAATGAAGCAAGAGATGTATAGGTAGTTCTTCTAATAATAGTTTGATTTTAAAATTTTTTAGTACTGAAGAGAAAGGATCTATTATTAGAGCCAAGAGTTTTTCTTCATATGAAATATATTGTAGAGATAATAACTAGTTGATATTATTTTGTGAAATATGCCAATATGAGATACATTGTTGATAAAACCAGGCTAGTCTTTGTAATTTGGTGTATTTACTTTGTTGTAGTTTTTAGTAGATATGTGCAAGGGTTGCCAAGAAGTTTTGGAACAAATTGATTATATAAAAACTTTTGTGATGTAGAGTCTAGTTGAAAGATATTTTTAGTTTCTTGAATCTGGAATTCTTTGTCCAAGGTTGCTGAAATTGTATGATTACATGTTATTGCTTTTAATACTAGAATAAGGTAGATGTATTGTTGCTTTTCGAGTACAAGGTAGTTATGCGATTGAGTAGATTGTATAAGGTTAATTAAATTAACTAATGAAGAATTGTTAGTATATATTTTTATATTAGCATAAGGATTCATTGAGGTTAATACAAATATTAGCAAAATTAATAAGGTATTTAAATGAAAAAGCCAAAGATTTGTAAAGCAACCAAAGTTGGTGTGAAAATGTTGAAGTTGACAATTTGCTACTATATAGGAGTTATTCTTTATATTTTGTCAACTATTAGTTATGTATAATGTTATATTTTTCTTATTAAAGTTGGTCTCTGTTAAAGTGTTCCAAAGTGGTATCAGAGGATTGGCAAAAGAACAGAGGGGTTTAGCTAAGGTTGAGTATGTTTTTTGGTTAAAAAGCTGATGTGTTGCCACTAGCATTAAGGTTAATGCCTTTTTGAAATTTCTTTACGTATGGCCAGTTATCAATGTCTCATGAGGTTTGCATCTCTAATGCATATAAAGCTATTATCATCTGACATGTTTGTATATTTATTTATGTTAGTAGAAATACTGAGAGTTGTGTCAAGATTGAAATGTTTGTAAATGTTACATCTTGTAGTTGCTGTAATCATAGTTTCAAAAATAAGAAATCAAAGTTAAAGTGGTTTAGGTTTTTTTGTAGTGTTGAAACTAGTGCTAAAGTTTGTGCTTGAGCTAAATCTGTCAATGCATAAATATCTGAATTGAATAGAAATAAATTTGAAACTTTTCATACTAATTTTGTCTTATGTTTTACCAGTTGAATGCATGCTTTGTTAAGAGAATTTATTTGTAAAGGAGAAAGGAATAAGAAGTATAGCTGATAGATAAAACATGGAGTAATGACACTGTTTATGATATATATTGCTTGTTTTTCTGTTATATTAGCAAATTGCAGTTTTTTTAAATTGATCTTCACTTCTGCTATTATTTCTTTTTGTATCAGTATTGGCTTTTTGTTGGTTGAAAACCATGCTTCCAAGTATTTAAAAAATGTTTTATGTTTTATTGCAAACAATTGTTCATCATCAAAAGTTATAAAGTTATCCAGATTTGAAGAATTTGTAACTAAAGTAGATTTAGATAGATTGACTTTTATGTTAGCAAATTTGTAAAAAGAGGAGGCAGTCACAGAATGTTTGTAAGAGATGTTTTGTTTGGTACGATCTATAGTGAGTTATCCATGTATGACATTACAAAGGTATGTATTTTTTTCATGCTTAAAGAAGGAATTACATTAGTAAATCCTTGATGTTTTTTATATATTCATAATATCAATAGGTTGTAGTATATTTTCCATAGAAGAGAAAAAATTGTCTCTTCTTGGTCCACCTCATCTTCTACTAAATATGGTGCAGTTAAGTTTAAGGTAGTAATTATTCTGTTGGTTTGATATAAATGCTGATATGATAGCAGGTTTATAGCTTTGTCTAGAATGTGAATTTTTTTGAAAGCCTTGGATAAAGTAGGTATGTGAATTGAATCAAAAGCTTTTGATATGTCTTGGGAGAGGATCCAGATTTCCTTATTATTTGTAGTTGCATCTTCAAGAATTTGGATAAGTTGTGAGATTGGTTGTAATATTGATTGATATGAAAAAGCTACAAAATTGTAAGGTGATAACACTTGGTTATAGGTTAGAATATTTGTAAGTCAGTTTGTTATAATTTTTGTGAAGATTTTTCTAGTATGATCAATTAGTGTAATAAGATGAATAGAATTAAGTTCATAGTTGTAGTGTTGTTTTTTTGGAATTGGCCAAATGTTGGCTTGTAGCTACTGATCAGGAATAATTTCTTGTGTTATACAACTGTTGAATATATTTAAAAGAAAAGAGAGTGCTAATAAGAGTAGATGTTGAAGAACTTCGTTTGCAATTCCTGAAGATCCAGTTGCTTTCTTTTTGGGTGCTGCTTTTATCATTTGCTCTAGTTCTGTTATTGTAATAGGAGATAGAAGATGGTTGTATATATCACTTTGAATATTATTAAGTGGAAGGTAGGTTGTTTCCTATTCTTTCCAATTGTTTTCATTAGAGAGGTTATTTCTAATCCATTCTTTGAAATGTTGTCATGTTGCTTCTTTAATTTTATTTCTTTCTATAATTATTTCATCTAATAGAATAATTTTTTCAAAACTAATTGGTTCTGCTCTTCTTTTTAGTATGCTATCTAACATATATTTAGTGTTATCCTTAAAATCTGAGTATCTACAGTTTGTATAGAATTTAATTAGTTCCTTTTGCTCTTGTCTTTTTTCAAAATTGCATGCCTGCCAGATTGTATATTTGTAGTGTTTAATTTGTGCTATCAACTCAAAAGGTAAAGAGTTTAGTTTTGTTTGCATTATAAGAGAGATATCGATTTTTGCTAATTTAGCTGCTTTTGACAGATGATGGTTAATTTCTGTTAGATTGTTTGA